CGCCTTCCACAATATTTACCTAGTTTTCGAATTAACACTGGATATAATCGAGTGATTTCTTTTTTCTAGTTAGAAGGTCGGTCTGTCTTGAGAGACATTCCAAACTGGTCTCCCCCTCTTGCTGCAAGATTTTGGGGAAGGCGCAAGGCTGCGATCCCCAGCACAGTTACTTAGGAGTAAGTGCCATTCGGCTCAGCGACTCCTACTTCTGAACAGACAGACGTGCCTCGCATTGAGCTGTAAGGCAACGAACGCTTGCCTTTGGTCGTAAGGAATTTTATCAGTTATCTGCAGACATTTAGAGGGTTTAAATGTCCCCGTTCATGGTGGGTGGGGGACTCACAGCTCCTTCCGTGTGTGGGCTCTGGAGAGTCGCTTCTCTGAAATCCGCATAACTAATCACAGACTGACCACTGCGACATTTTGCCGCATTTATGCAAATTCATGCGCCAAAGTGTTTGCTGCGTGGTTTTGCCGCAGTCTCTCGTCTGCAGCGTGAGCGAAGCCCCAGCCCACGATGGCGCGGCCGCCGCAGCAGGCCTAGGAAACTTGCAGGCGGCGGGCTGCGGGGTTCTTCCAAAGGGACCACACCAATTATAGGCATCCCCCCGACATTTCCCCATCTTTTTCTGAACTAGTCCGCTTCACAGCTAGCACAGCGGCTGAATCGACCTCCATACTCAACAAAGGATTCAAAACGTGCGTGTTTGGAGAGCAAACCCGAAGGAAAAAACAGAGGGTGCAAAGAGAGCCTTTGGACTGGACTCAGCTTAAGTGAGAGGAGACTTCCAGCTGCTTATACTTCCTTACTAAAGCCTTATTCTGTTTCTCAGTCCACTTCCTGTTTCAAACTTGGCAGCAGAAGGGCATCAGATCGCTTTAAGGGGTTTGATATGAGCGAACAATAAACCACTGACCTCAGACTGTAGCAATAAAATATGGTAACAATGGGCAGGACTTGGCCGGACCTGGGCCCCTCTCCATTGCATTCATTTACACCCCCCTTGAAATCAATAGGATTTAACGGAGCTTAATTTTGGTGGGGAAGCGCATAAGGATAATTACTGTCTATTATATTCACGTTCCACCTTTTTCCTGCAAGAAACTCAAGCTGGCCTTGAGCCTCATTTCCATATTATCCTCACAACAGCCCCGTGAGGTAGACTGGGCTTAGCGTCTGTGACTGGTGCAAAGCCACCCAGCGAACTTCATGGCAGAAGAGGGACTAGACTAGAATCTACTTCTCTCAAGTCCCACTCCAGCAGTCTGACCACTGCACCGCACTGCATGGCAAGGCTTTCCAATCAGAAAAGAGGCAGGGGCGGAAGGCAGGAAAGGGTAATGTAGGAAATCGGTACGTGTAAAGCGCAAGCGAGTGTGCCTGCCGCACCAAGACGACGTTCTTTCCTCGCCTTTTTAGGGCCTTTCACGGCTCCTGCCCACTCCGAGCAGCGCCCGGCAGAAATGCCTGCGGACTGAATCCCACGGCAAACCGCAGAATATGAATTTATTCGAGCGACCGAAATATCAGTGATTTCAAAGGGATCTGATCTCTTTACAGTCTGGTTCTATGAATGTCTGTGTAGAAGTAAGCTCCAGATAAAGGGATGCAGTTCAAGGCTTGTATTGTGTGTGTGTGTGTGTGTGGGGGGGGTGCCCCTCAGTGCCTGGCCCATTTTTATGTATGGATCCCATGGAGGGTGTGTACCTGCGCACACCAGCAGCATCTGAGGGCTCTTGTTTCCATCCAGGCAGCCCGCTGGAGATTGTGGGCAGGGACAAGGGACAGAAGTTTGCATTCGCTTCATGATCTGCCTGGTTTAAGGATAAGGAGAGCCCCCTCTTTAACATCGCTGGGAGAATGATGATGGTTTCCTTGTCATATAATGTGGAGAGAGGTATTCCTGCTTTGGGCAAAAGACGGCCATGTGGAGCTAGACTGCTTCATAAATGCATTGGAATGAATGCGGTTTGACAGAATTAAATGCAACCTGCACTATCTGAAAACTGAAACAAAAGAGAAGCCATTCTCATTTTGCCATTGTGCGTCCATGTACCCTTTTTATAAACAAAACCCCAAACCCACACGACCTCCCTAATGTTAAAAAATTAAATCATCTCACATAGAATCAAATAAAACTAAGAGGCTGGTGTATACATGTGTGCAGGCATGGAGCTGCGTTCTCTTATTAAAGACAGCAACCTCTGCGATGGTTCGGGTTATTTTTCTATTGTTCCATAGAAATGCATTGTGATATTTTACATCTTTATCTTTTTCTAAAACCTCATTTTTTTCTGCTACATCCTATGAAAACAAAGCCAAACAAATCCTCCCAGATTTGACACAGACATTGAAAACACCCCAGAGAAATATGGGCTCTGTAAAATCCCAACTGTATTCAATAAAGCTGGCCCTCGTGACCCCCAAAGTGGGCTGTACACACAGACCACGGTCCTGCAGAGAATTATTTTATTTATTTATTTATTTAGGGACTTCTATGCCGCCCCATTCGCCGAAGCCTCGGGGCGGCTCAGAATTAGGCATGGGAGACCCTCTTCCCATCAGCTCTCCTTGGCGCTAGAAGTTCTGCAGTGGCTGTGAACTAGGGGACACCAGCGCTCTTGCTGCCTGTCTTTTCCACTTCTGCCCATTGACACCTCACATTCTGGAAAAGCATAACGAGTAAGACAACATCTCGTCGCTATCTTAAGTTCACATCCCACTCAAATCTTGTCTCAGCCATAAACTCACGCGGGGGGGGGGGCGGCGGGGGACGACACAGAGCCTCAGACCCCTTCCCCGCTGTGGGGACACCCATTCCCCCATGGAGGCCTGTCTTGCGGGGGGTGTGGTTGGCCGCACCACCGCCTCCACCACCACCACCGTGCTCCTTACCTACAACAGCTCTACTCATCTGAATAATTCTTCCTATTTGTATAACTAGCTTTATCTGAGCTGACTGAAATTCAGCCAAGATGTGGAAGAGATATCGCATCTGGGGAATAAAAATAAAATACTGCTGCCAAAATAATTAAAAATTATCCCAGCAGTAGAATTAGTAGCTAGGATAGGCAACAATTAGGTTTATGGCACCAATGTTTCTGAGGAATCCTGGAAGTTTAGACTGGCGGCTGAAAAAGAGGGCTACTTGTACTGTTTCCGTATTATCTTTGACCCAAACAACACACATACATACATGCTTTATAAATCAGGCAGCCAATTAGCATGTTGGGAGGGTAGCTGGATCTAACATCTAGCCGAGCGTTTTGCCTCCGAGAGTGGCCAGTCCAGCAGGGCAGGCAGGAGCGGGCACACCTGCTGCTTCTCGGGTGGGATCGCAGCTCCTGCCCACCGGCGCGCCATGACGGCAGAGCGAGGGCCGTCCCCGAGGCCCGGCTGAGGCGGAGGTCCCTTCTTCCTTCCTTCCTTCCTTCCTTCCTTCCTTCCTTCCTTCCTTCCAGTGGGATCGCCCTGGTCCACTGGTGCTGATGGGAAGAAGGCGCACAGTGGCTTTGCGCCAGGGATCCACAGAGCCCGAGTGCTGTGCTGGATCAGACCGAGGCCTGTCCAGTCTAGCCACGGAATTGACTCCGTGGCCAACCAGCTGCCCGCAGCACGTCCGCCGACAGCGCTCGAGAGCAACAGCCCCCGGCAACAGGTTGCGCACGGACGTGGGCCCCTGGGAGAGCGACGAGTAGCCACAGGCCCAGGCCGTCTGCCCCTCCGTGCATGTGTCCCGCCCCTTGGGCTGGCCACAGGGTTGCGGCCCCCGTGCCTCGCAACGCCCGCTCGCTCTGCAGCGCTCTGAAAAGCGGACATGAGCCCCACGACTTCCTCGTGGATGCACGGGCCACTCGCTCCCCTTGCTCCATCGGGCCGTGCCGCTCCCAGATAAAGTGGCAGGTGCCTTCGTGAGCTCCAGCTACTTTCCTTCTGCATTGAACGTGCACCCATTTCCCAGCTGTAGCCCAAAGCACCCTTGCTAGAAAGACAGGCCACTTTAGGTACCAGATGTGACTCTCCCATCGCATGGGAGCAAATACACGAAGACTAACAGGGTCCCACTTCCAGGTAAATACACGCAGGCTCGGGTTTTCCAAGGCGGGCTGAATCAGCTTCTCGGAGCATGCCACGAACAGCGCTATGGTGATGATTCTTTTCAGCGGGCGAGCCAGCTCCCCGGAAGTGTGCCGACGGGCTCGCAAGGAGTTCTGCCACGGACCACTGGGTGGACCGGTGCACTGGGCCTGCTCCCAGAGCCCGATGGGGCAGGCGACATGCCGGCGTTATCAATGGGAAGAAGAGAAACCGCACCCTTGAATGCTTCTATAACATCATCTTGCTTAAACAAAACAAAAGCAAAGAACACCGTTTCTGACTCAGTGGGAAAAACAGCCAGCATTTTGGACTCTAGGAGTTTGGCTGCCCAGCTTCATAGTTTTACACGGGAGGCAGAGACAAGGGAAGAAAGCTAATCAGGAAGAGTACCTTGGAATAATGCTTTTATTTCAGTTACGGATAATTAAAGATCAACATTTAATTAAAATACTTCCTCCCTTCATTTCCCCATTCAATTTCTTATTTAATTTACTTTACAAGAAAAAAAGGGGAAGGGAAATTTCAGAGATATTACAAGTGCACTTGATTGAGCTGATTCCTGAAGAACTGGCTAGGACTGACAATCTGTCTTTTGACAGAAAAGAAGCCTGCACCCCCCCGCCCACCCCCAAGCGCCAGGTACAAAATTGCCACACTTTTCAGAATCACTTTCCGGGGAGGCCGAGAAAAAGGATGCGGCCTCTGCCGAGGGAGACTCCATCGAGGCAGGCCCGAGCAGTAGCAAGCACAGCACACTTTCGTCTAGCACAAAGGTGTGGGAAGGTAGCTTAAAAGGCAAGGCAGGGCCCTCGCAGCAAAGGTGCCTGAGCAGCCGTAGCAGAGCAGCGGAGGAGACCAGGAGAAGCGCCCGGGACGCGCCACTGTCTTTTGCCGCAGCGCCTCAGTTGAGCGGGCCGTCCGCTCTGCCTTCCAGGTCCCCGTGGCTTTCCTTTTTGTCTTCCCCTCCGTCCTTTCCCTCTGGCTTGACGGCGGGGAATTTGTCCTTGTTGTTCTCTTTTTTCCATTTCATCCTCCTGTTCTGAAACCAGATCTTTACCTGCCTCTCGGTGAGTCCTAGCGCATGGGAGACCTCGATCCTTCTTTTCCTGGTCAGGTAGGGGTTAAAAAGGAACTCTTTTTCCAGCTCGAGAGTCTGGAAGCGGCTGTATGTTTGTCTTCCTCTCCGCCTACCCGGAGCTGCTGTTTGGAAGAAAAAGCGCAGGATTTCTTAGCCGCCGCCGCCACCACCTCCACAAGCACCGAAAACAAAACACACCCAGGCGCCCACCAGCCCTCCACCCCGTGCTGGGACCTCGGCGGGTCATGCCAAAGCTGGGACAAGCCTCAGGGCCCCCGCAGTGCGTCCAGGAGTAAGTCCCGAGCTTACTCACATTCCTGGGGATAAGCAAAGGCTCGGGCCCGGCAGTTTCAAGCTTGCTCGCCCTTCGGCTACGAAATGTAACTGAGGCTAAACCCGAGTGCCCGGGCTGCATCGGTGCGCAAGAGCCTCAGACTTTCTCGCACCCAGCCCCGAGAGCTTAATTCTCCCGCCGAAGCATTTTCTGTTTGGTGGGTTGTTCTTGCCCTCCCAACCCAGTTCGTGGCTTAGGTTTTCCAGTAAATCCTGAACCTAACCGCGGTCGCAGAGGTGGAAAGAATTGTTACCAGGTGTTTCCCTAATGAGAAATAATACAAGCCACAGAAATAGCCATATTAACCCTAATACCAACACTAATAATGTAGCTATAGAAGAGAAAGAAAGAAAGACAAAGAGAGAGAGAAAGAGAGAAAGAAAGATGAATTTACGGATAATAGCTTGATTCTGTGTTATTGTGGAGGGAGAAGAACCCCAGACACGTAGTATTTCAGCCAAGGAGGTAGGGAAATCGGGGGAAGGAGAGGAAAGGAGCGGAGCCGGGGGAGCGGAGCGGAGCGGAGCGAACGAGCCCTGGGCCGCTGCGGCCGAGAGCGCAAAGGCAAGGGGATTTCGCCTGCGTCCAACCTTGTGGTCTCATCCAGGGAAACATAGGAGAAGGAGACGCGCCCTGATTTAAGTGCTCTGGTTCGTCGCCAATATGAGCGCTGGACGATTTACAGTCAGGATACTGGACCAGCTCGGCCTCTTGGTGTGTCGTAAAAAGCGGCTGTCTCTGTAAGTTATCGTATCCGTAAAACTTGGCCGGCTCCCCGGGGCAAGGCAGGCCGGCGCAAGGGGCCTGCGAGGCCAAGGGAGGCGGCGGCGGCGGCTGGTAGGCGGACGGGCTGCCCCCGGCCAGGTGGTGCTGGTGGTGCTGATGGAAGTACTCGGGGCCGCTGCCTCCGGACCCGGACCCCGGAGCTGGCGGCGGCGGCGGCGGCGGCGGCGGCGGGAAGCCTGAGGCGGCGGCGGCGGCGGCGGCGGCGGCGGCCGCAGCGCTGTTCCCGTAGAGCAGGGCGGCGGCGGCGGCGGCGGCGGGCGCAAAGTGACAGTCGTAGTAAGCGGGATTGATGGGCGGCTCGCCCCCTCCTGCCGCCGCCGCCGCCGCCGCCGCCTTGTACTTGGAGTAGAGCGGGTTGACGAAGTAGGAGCTCATCGGCGGGCGGGGGGCGAGCGGAGACAGGCGCGCCGGCCAGCAGGAGGAGCAGCGCCTGCCCCCGCCGGCCCAGCCG